TTCAGAAATTAGGTGCAAAAACTGACTATACCAGTTAAAAAATCGATGTATTCCATTCGTTATCGAAAGGACTACACCAATCAAACCGACTTGCCTTGAATATGTCAATCATATTACTATACCAGTCAAAATTGAGAATGGTCCCGTCGTTGTTCCGGAATTTGAAATAAATGGAATAATATTTCCTGATTGCATATCTACGGCTCGCGATTTCCACGTCACCATACCTATTCCTGTAGAACACTCTACCCCGGAAGAGATATGTTGCATAAAGCCCATGGATGTAGAACCTTTGCTTGAATACAACATTAAAAAACCTGATATCAAAAAAAATTATTTCAATATAACTCACCGGATGAAAAGCAAAAGATCCTCGAACTTTTCCAAAAATATAAAACAATATTTCACTTTACTCATCACGTTAAGCACAAGATTCGAACAACCGATGACATACCGATTTATCAGAAACCGTTTAGGTACCCCCCTATTCTCCAGGGAGAAATTAATATGCAAGTACAAAAATTGATCGATAACAAAATTGTGAGGCCAGATATTAGTCCGGTCAGCGTAAATTTCGACTTGTTATCGATTATAGGAAATTAAATTTCAAAACCATAGAGGACAAATACCCATTGCCCAGAATTGACGAAATTCTGGACAACCTTGGCAAGTGCTCATTTTTTTCGACAATCGACCTCTCTCAAGGATTTCATCAAATTGAGATGGATCCTGAATCTATTGAGAAAACAGCCTTTACGGTAAATAATCAGCACCTCAAATATGTCCGGATGCCTTTTGGCTTGCGAAATGCTCCGGCAACATTTCAGCGCTTAATAGATGACGTTCTTCGTGACCAGTTGTATAAAATGGACGATATTTTGGTATATTCCAAATCATTAGAACAGCACATTCAACATTTAGAATTCGTATTTAAAAAATTTAAAACCTATAATATAAAGGTACAGCTATATAAAACGGAATTTCTCCGCAAAAAGGTACCGTTCTTAGGTCAGGTTATCAAAGACCACAAAACAAATTAAAGGGTTCTTAGGTCTATCGAAAATTTATCAAAGATTATTCTCGCATCGCGCAACCAATGACTAGAATGTTGAAGAAGGGTGCCATATTAGACACCACGAATAGGGAATATATTCAGGCATTTAAAAAATTAAAAGACTTAGTCAAAAATTCGCCAGTTTTAATTTACCCTGATTTTTCGCAACCTTTCAAACTGACAACCGATAGTAGTAGCGTAGCTATTAGTTCTGTCCTTTCCCAGAAGGACCGCCCCGTGGCATTTTATTCTCGTTAAATAATGCCGAAAGGAACTATAGCGCAACGGAGAGGAAATTGCTTGCAATCATAGATTCTGTAAATCATTTTCGCCCTTATCTGTATAGAAAAAAAATTTGTAATTGAAACAGATTGCAAATCGCTGTCTTGGCTCTTTAATCGGAAAGACCCGGTATCCAAGCTAGCACGCTGGAAGGTCCGCCTCGAAGAATATGAGTATGATATACTTATAAAAAGGGTAAAGAAAATTGCGTCTCTGATGACTTATCAAGGGCAAAACTTAACGCCGTGGATGACCAATTACCCTGTATATCTAAGGAAAATCCTGAATACCTTCAGATTCCTTTAGTAAGAGCATGTCTTGAGAATAAGCGTGAAACTAACCAAACTTCTATACAAGGGGAAGTAGAACACTCTGATCAGTCATCTTCATACAATCCTTCTAGATCGGGAACGATGAGCAATAATAATTACGAGCACCCTATCAATTTACTTCCTTTTTCAGAAAACCCAGTGAATTATTTTAAATGTCAATTTGAGTTCAAAATTTTGGATAATCATAAAGTTACCAGAAAGATTTTCAAAAATAAATACAGATTATATGTGACGCTTTCGCCCGATAGTTTACATTCTCAGATATCCCTAACACTTATCGAGTATGTCGATCCAAAAAATACATTGTCTGCCATAATGAACCCTTGAAACCGATTATCACTCAATTGGTACGCTCCCTGTTTGACCCCGAGGTTCATCTAATTTTTACAAATAAACTGCTTTTAGATATCACTGATGAAGGGGAACAAACAAGATTAGTCCAAGAATATCACTCAAAAAATCATAACGGCATTCAAGAAACACTACAGACGTTTCAACTAAGGTACTATTGGCCCAACATGAAAAATTCTATAAACGCATTAATCAATTCCTGCGAGACCTGCAATTTAGCTAAATACGATAGAAATCCTTACAAACCGCCGTATGAAGGGCCGCTAATTGCAAAATACCCGTTCGAAATTTATTTATTTTCTAATAATGGGCAGGCCTATCATATTACTGATGAGAATTCAATAACTTTGCTTGAAAAACTACCTAATTTTATCAGCCATCATGAAATTCCTGTAAAAATAACATGTGATAACGGAGCCGGATTCACAGCCAGAATTTTCAAAGAATTCTGCGAGTTACATAAAATCAAAGCCCATTTTACCACTCCTGAGAATCCTTCATCTAATTCTCCCGATGAGAGGTTATACAGTACTACTCTTAAAGAAAAATTAAGTGCTTTAAGGCTTCAAAACCCGAAAACAGATATAAAGGAGCTCATGGTGACCGCGATTTTGAATTATAATCAAAGTGTCTATAGTTCAACGAATTTTTCTCCCCACTCACTCATCTATACTCCTTTCAACAGAACAAATGTAACAAATATCGAAATAAGTAAGGACGTATATGAACAATATAACCAAAAGCGTGTTGACGAGCTCAAACTATTATATCAGTCGGTAAGCGATAAATGTTAGGAAAAAGCTGAAAAGGTTCACCGAAAGAGAAACGAAAATCGAACTGAACGACCGGAAATTCCAAAAGAGACTACGGTTTTTGTCAAGTCCAGACAAAGGACTACGAAAATCAAACCCAGACATGTGAAATCCAAAGTTAGAAATCAGGAAGGCAATACCTTGCGGTTACAGACTCTAAGCAAAAAATCAGTTCGCACTAGAAGGAATTTGTGCCCGATTAAAAGAGTAAAAAAGGGTTTTTCTTCACAGGGCAACCCTATTGCCGCAGAGTCTTCCGCTGAGGCTTCATCAAGTCCCAACCAATAAGGGTTTCTACCCGGAGCCATAATCTCAGCTTAACAGCTGATGTTATTGGACAGATAGAAGTTAGTTATAGTATTGTAGTAAACCGTTCTAATGAGATCAACCTCAAACCGGTACTAGAGGACCTATACAAAACTGTTAATAATGTAACAATGGAATATTTAAAATTATCACCTTATCATTCACACAGTAGAAGGCGTCGAGCAATTATTAATGGATTTGGCAGCATAATTAGGTATGTGACAGGAAATTTAGATCAAGATGACCTTACAGAAATCAACGATAAATTTCAATCATTAAAAAACAAGGAAAACGAACTTATAATAGCCATCAATAATCATTCGCTCAGCTCATTTCACAAAAATTTGAGAACGATATGAAAGTCAAACAATATACAATTGCTATCAGAAACTGTCAAGAAGTTAATTTATGATTATGAATATGAAAGATTTTTAGACTATTTATTCCTTTACGAGAAATTTTAGATTATCTCAGACTGATCCAAGGCACAATATCGTTATCACAGAAATAGATGACAAATGTAGCTAGTTTTAGTCTTAAGGAACTAACCCATATTGAAAATTACCTAAGATTTATTTATTCGAAGAAAAATTTGGTTTTGTTATATGAAACTCATCCAGCCTGAGCAGAACTGGTGTTATTTATACCGATGATATCCTTCTATGTGCAGTTGAAATACCAATTCTAGATTCCACTAAGTATAAATTATCAAAGTTATATCCTTTATTGACCAGTAACACAATGTTAGTACTTTTTCAACTTGAATATTTTCTGCACAATGAGGTATCAGTTAAAAGTTGTCCTAATCAATGTAAAAAATTCATGAATCGATTTATTTGTGAATCTGCAACCAATCAAAAATGCACGCCGCGATCAGTTGACCATTGTAATATTGTAAAAGCCAGGAATACTTTAAGTTTATCATATTTGCTTGAGAATACTGCAGCAGTATTATTTTCGAGTAACATCAAGGTGAACAACATTCATATTGCACAAATTATATTACGGTTGAACCAGATTAAAAATGAAGACTCATGACTGTATTTGTCAAAACTATCCAATGAAATTTGTCATACAACGTCAAATGTCATACAACAAACATATTCAGATTCTTCATTGGAATATTATGTAATAAATAGTAATATTACGCGTTTTCTTTAATGTTAAAAAACAAAAATTCCCCTTATGCAACTATATCGGGGTTTACTGAGTTTCCCATGAATGCGTCAAGCAATTATTGAGATCTGTGAGTTGTCTGCTTTCGAGATACTTGCAGCGCTATTCATTGGACGGCAGCTAAGCCAAAATATTGTGTACGGGTTTGGAAATATGTAAGCTTTCATCATCTATATTAACCGATCTAAAGGATACACATTAATTTATACCTTTTCATTTCAAACACTAAGGTTTTTTTGTTGGAGAAATATTCGTTCATAGGAGTATCCACACTGTGACAGCAACAAATGCAAACTGCCAATCAGAGAGCTACCCTCATTTCCGAACATTTTGTTTATCCGTCTGGAGTATGTGGCATCGCTGATGTTACTTCAAATGAGAATAATTTTATCAGCGCCATTATGCCAAGGTTGGTGTGCCCCAGCATTCATGAGGTGCAAGCTATATTAGTGCGAGAGCTTGAAAAAAATAGTCATTCGTTACATAGTGGTGTGGCAGTTCCCAGATAACACTGTAGAAAAATAAGGAAATTAACAAAAATACGCATTTCCACGCGAAACAGCTCTTCATTTAGTGTAGAATTTGTTCCCCTTTGAGTGCATCAGATGTTATGTAGGGTTGTGTGGAGCTGAAAGGCATACATACAAATTTAATTATTAAGAAAATCCATCAACACAAAAACCTATGAAGTAATGAAATCTGGCCACATCGCACAGTCTTTGAAAACAAGTATTGAATAAAAACCTATTATATAGTAAAATATTTCAGAACTTTCTTGTTTAGTCCCATTTCCTTCATCTACACCCAAAAATTAAGGAATGCAATAATTTCTTCATCAAAAACAGCTGGTTTAGTTGAGCTAGAGAATCCACTATGATCACTAACTGGTACCAAGTTGATGTTATCATTTTTGTAGTTTCTCTGCTAAAGGTACGTTTATACTAGAGATTTTATTCCTTACATTTCTCTCTATAAACGTACCTTAAAACTCGATTTCACTTTCAATCGTTTCTTCAGCATTACCTGGTATGTACATCTGTCTATCGGCACTGTCTATGTCCAATGTTGGAACAGCACCTTGCAGCAATCCTTTTTTTTACAGATATGGAAATCATTTGACCATAAAGTGGTTATGGCTTGTCACTTTGTTCAACTGTTCTTCCTCTACAAAATATCAAGAAAACGCGGTTAGAAGTGGAAGAATAATTGTTCAACACTCAAAAAGATTGAAGAGCCCTTATGGCTTGCAATTGCAACGTTGTTTTTGTTGTACGGGATAATGAAAAAATGTGATGTTTTCCTTATTTCTGGTAGAAACCCGCTTCTACAAAATCAAGGATTCAAGAAAGCAACTTTGTTATTTACAACGGAACACCCGGGAATGATCCTTACTTTATTTTTGTAAATACTGCTACCAGATGATGTGGAGAGTTCAGCCGTGACACCCACTCGAGAACATATTTTTAGGTTTTCTTAAATATATCCCAATATATCTGATATATCCATTCCCCATTCCTGAGTTTGTAAAAGCATTTTTAGTATTTGAAAGTAAGTTTCCCAATGACATACGTTGACATTTAAACCTTGTGATGAGCTTGCTTATTTTGAACTGGTTCAGATTAAATGAATCCTAACATTTGATTTGGTTTAAATTAACTGAATCTATTTTTTGATTGATTAGCTTCATCACTACAAAACCGTATAGTTAGCGCCATCTATGCGTAAAGATCCTAAGCTACCTTATAATAAGGTAGACATCTTTTCAATGGATATTATGAAATAAAATTAGATAAAATAATTATCACTAGATGGCGGCTCAAGTCAGTTTTGGAATTTTCTAGATAGTCCCATTCGATTGGCTTAAGATAGGAATTGATGAAATACTCGATTAACTAGTGAACATAAATTTAAAATATGGTTTTTATAAGGGGACATTAAAGAAAAGCATTGTATATATCTCATACATTTTTCTACAAACAAATCAGTATTTACATTATTATGGTTCAGACGTTCTCATTCACCAGCCTTTGTTTGAACTGTGTTAATATGTTACTACAATTCAGATTTCTTTTTTTATTAGAACAATACTGTTATTGTCCATGGATACCCACAGGAATTTTTCTCATGGGTGCTGATCACCATCAAGAGATAACTGTTACCCCTGTGGGGGCAGCCATGTTATTGTTCAATAACAATACTTGGCTTCGATTTCATTAAAATTATAGTGAGATTTGCATATCAACCCTGCTGCTCCAAGAATAGATGATTTAAAATGAAGTATCTAAACTATTTTGGTCTTTAAAAAGCATCATAAATCATCAATGGTTATTGAGTCATATAACAACTTACAAATGTTATGGTCTGCAAATATCCTTCAGAGCTGTGCCTTTTGGTTAGATCACAAGTAATCTTCGAACTTCTGATAATTCTCAGGACCTCAGGGGTTGACACCGGCGGCTGAACTTTTCGTAGTGCTCTACTGTTCAAAAAGTTATGTGAAGATTCCAACAGGTATGATCTTCAAATATTACACTCCTCGAATGAGTAACCTCTGCATCTCTAATCTTCCTCAGCATCTCAGCATCTGCAGAATCCTGGCTACTGACTGGAAACACTTTGGATCACCTTAAAAAAGAAACAGATTTGAGTCAATCTTTGTAATTGAACCAAGAGTCTACAGTGACCTATACATACCACGTGCTCACTTTCCATTAACCAACACATTTTTCATCGCGTCTCCGACGGTTTTCTACTCGATTCAAATTTTTTGGGATCTACAGTCAAACTTCGTCCTTAACTGCTCTTTTTTGCTAAGCTGAAAATAAAAAGTTCCATTATCGTTACATCAACCAGTATTTGAAAGCTTGAATGCATTGTGGATTTTGAAATGTTGAAATGTGTACGAATATAAATTCCCATATGCTCTGGGGGTGACCTAAGTAATCATGGACAAAACTTTTGCATTTTTTTCCAAAAATATTAATATATAATTCCCTTAAGATATAGTAATGCAGTTAATGAATCATTTTATTTACCTCAGCTATTCAGGGGGGGGGTGAAGCCCTTTGGAGCATTTTTTTGGGTTATATTATTTGCTGAAACTTTGATTCGATTATGTATGAATACACCAATAAACAGTATTATTATTTTAAAGTGTTAGCATAGCTTTGAATTTACTGAAACTACATCAGAGATGCTGCCCTGAAAATAGCTGATTTACACCATTTTTATCACTGGTTATTGAATTCTTTAAAAACTTACATTGGTTAGATCACATCCAAACTTCAGACTTGTGATTATTCTCACAGGTATGATCTTTAAATACTAAAATTCTTCAAATGTGTAACCGCTTCAGTGGCCTGGTTATTGAACGGAATCACTTTGGAATCACTTAAATGACACAGCAGTTAACTTAGAATTTCTCCCTCACACCATTTCATATACTTACGTTTTAATACTGTATCATAGTCATACGGCACAAATTAAAATACCAGATTAAAAATCAAAACTCATAACACTATTTTTCAAAACGATGAAACGAAATGTTTATCATTCAACGTCAAATGTCACACGGTTTAAATTTTCTGAGGTTGTCATATTGTGCACGTATAATATGCCTTTTGAAAGCAAACCTATTGAAATGTTCCAACTTGTGCACAATTGCGCTGTTGCCGTCGTACGTCGGTCGTTGCGCGACGGCTGCTAAACTTTCATCTAGGCCAAAATCAAATTGTTCGATTGCCGTTTCAACTCGGCAGCTAGTCAAGGTTCGTTACGGGTATGTAGATGTTTCTGAACATAATTCTCAACTGTCTGTTTAGCATAACGGTTAGATGTTCGGGTCAGTACCCAAATGTCTCGGGGTTCGATTCTGCGCAACACAGATTTTTTTTTCTTTTTATGTATCTCTTTAAATAGTACATGTAAAAAAAATTAAAAATTTATAAAACTCGGTTATATCATTTGTGAACGGTACCTCACATTAGCTTAATATTCATCTGTTTTAAAGGAAGGGTAGTAGTTTATATGCAACAAAATAAAATCCGCACAGGTTTTCGGTAAGAACACGACTAATTTGAAATTAGCAACAGTGACTAGTGCTTAACACATGTGTGTCACGAAATAAGGCAGCAGAAAGTACCATCTATTACAAGTATCCACCTCTGCGAAAGTGAAAACAGCTAAATAATATTTAATTATAAAGAGTTTAGCGCCCCAAATTACCTCATTCTGCAAAGCTCCGCTCTCATGTAGCCATCGATAGTAAAAATGGATTTTTAGCATCTTAAAGTCCCAAAAAACGCCTAGTTTTGCAATTTTTCGCTAAGTAATTAGATCTACATCATAAACGGAATCACATACATATAAAACGACCTCGGATTCGATATGGGCATCCCAAAATACGTGGAATAAGGGTCATTTGAACCGCATTTGAAGCATTTTAACATATAATTACCATGTATACGTGTATTCTTACCAAAAAGTCACAAAATGTGTCAGTCGGGAACATGAACGCAACATATCTTATAATACGCTTTTTGGGTCGCTGAAACCGAATCCATGGCCCACTCCGTCCGAAAATGCCTCGTTTTCAAGATACTGGCAAGAATTGAACTTTGTCAAAAAACGACTAATAAAAAATTTCTAAAAACCCTTGCGCGTCTATGATCGAGATGGAAACTTGTTTTCTGGGTAAATCGGGTGCGTAGATTCCAAATTCGATGTCGATACATCGTTAGAATTTACGGCTAGCCTGGAAAAATAGTTTCTCGTCAGCTTTTCACCCTAAATTCCATCTGATAACACTTAAGAACGTGAACGCAACATATCTTATAATACGCTTTTTGGGTCGCTGAAACCGAATCCATGGCCCACTTCGTCCGAAAATGCCTCGTTTTCAAGATACTGGCAAGAATTCAACTTTGTCAAAAAACGACTAATAAAAAATTTCTAAAAACCCTTGCGCGTCTATGATCGAGATGGAAACTTGCTTTCTGAGTAAATCGGGTGCGTAGATTCCGAATTCGATGTCGATACATCGCTAGAATTTACGGCTAGCCTGGAAAAATAGTTTTTAGTCAACTTTTCACCCTAAATTCCGTCTGATAACACTTAAGAAATTTTTCACTGTGATATTCATATTCAGCGCCCCAAATTACCTCATTGTACAAAGCTCCGCTCTCATGTAGCCATCGATCGTAAAAACGGATTTTTAGCACCTTAAAGTCGCAAAAAAACGCCTAGTCTTGCAATTTTTCGCTAAGTAATTAGATCTACATCATAAACGGAATCACATACATATAAAACGACCTCGGATTCGATATGGGCAGCCCCAAATTCGTGGAATAAGGGTCATTTGAACCGCATTTAAAGCATTTTGACATATAATTACCATGTAGGGGTATCCTTACCAAAAACTCACAAAATGGGTCAGTCGGGAACGTGAACGCAACATATCTTATAATACGCTTTTTGGATCGCTGAAACCGAATCCTTGGCCCACTCCGTCCGAAAATGCCTCGTTTTCAAGATACTGGCAAGAATTCAACTTTGTCAAAAACGACTAATAAAAAATTTCTAAAAACCCTGACGCGTCTATGGTCGAGATGGAAACTTGTTTTCTGGATAAATCGGGTGCGTAGATTCCAAATTCGATGTCGATACATCGCTAGAATTTACGGCTATCCCGGAAAATAGTTTCTAGTCAACTATTGACCCTAAATTCCGTCTGATAACACTTAAGAAATTTTACACTGTGATATACATATTCAGCGCCCCAAATTACCTCATTGTGCAAAGCTCCGCTCTCATGTAGCCATCGATAGTAAAAATGTATTTTTAGCACCTTAAAGTCGCAAAAACGCCTAGTTTTGCAATTTTTCTCTAAGTAATTAGATCTACATCATAAACGGGGCCACATATATATAAAACGACCTCGGATTCGATATGGACAGCCCAAAATACGTGGAATAAGGGTCAGTTGGACCGCATTTAAAGCATTTTAACATATAATTACCATGAATAGGGGTGTTCTTACCAAAAAGTCACAAAATGGGTCAGTCGGAACGTGAACGCAACATATCTTATAATACGCTTTTTGGGTCGCTGAAACCGAATCCGAAAATGCCTCGTTTTCAAGATACTGGCAAGAATTCAACTTTGTCAAAAAACGACTAATAAAAAATTTCTAAAAACCCTTGCGCGTCTATATAAACTTGCTTTCTGAGTAAATCGGGTGCGTAGATTCCGAATTCGATGTCGATACATCGCTAGAATTTACGGCTAGCCTGGAAAAATAGTTTTTAGTCAACTTTCCACCCTAAATTCCGTCTGATAACACTTAAGAAATTTGTCACTGTGATGTTCATATTCAGCGCCCCAAATTACCTCATTGTACAAAGCTCCGCTCTCATGTAGCCATCGATCGTAAAAACGGATTTTTAGCACCTTAAAGTCGCAAAAAACGCCTAGTTTTGCAATGTTTCGCTAAGTAATTAGATCTACATCATAAACGGGCTCACATACATATAAAACGACCTCGGATTCGATATGGACAGCCCAAAATACGTGGAATAAGGGTCAGTTGAACCGCATTTAAAGCATTTTAACATATAATTACCATGTATAGGGGTATTCTTACCAAAAAGTCACAAAATGGGTCAGTCGGGAACGTGAACGCAACATATCTTATAAGTGGATAGGGTTTGTATGTTCTGGGACGCCCTTGAGCGCCGACCTTCGGTGCCAAACGACCTTGAGAGCTGACCTTCGGTGCCATGCTTGAAATGTAACATTGAAACGTGACCTGGAGTTTCCGAGTGACCTTGAAGTGTGACCTTGAGTTTTTCGAGTGACCTCGAAGTGTGACCTTGAGTTTCTGGGTGACCTTGAAGTGTGACCTTGAGTTTTTCGAGTGACCTTGAAGTGTGACCTTGAGTTTTCGATTAACCTTGAAGGGTAACCTTGAGTTCCCGATTGATCTTGAAGTGTGACATTGAGTTTTCTAGTGACCTTGAAGTGTGACCTTGAGTTTCCGAGTCACCTTGAAGTTTGACCTTGAGTTTCCGAGTGACCTTGAAGTGTGACCTTGAACATATATGACCTCGAACACTCACGACCTTGAGTGGGTGTGACCTTGTAGGAGTGAACGACTTTGAGATGTAGAAGGGATGACCTTGGAAATATGTGCTTAAATTGTAGAACGCGCGGAGAGAAGTCAGTTGTTAGCAAACACTTTGTAAGAAGAAATGAGTCTACAGAAATTTAAGTTGCCTACGGTGTGGGAAGGAAAGCCTGTGGCGGTGGTAAGCCCGTTTAAGATAAAGTCTTCCCCTCAAGAAGAAGAAAATTGGGATGATGATCGATGGCTCATGGATACCACACCATCTCACCAGCCGACGGGATCCAGCCCCCCCTTGGACACTACACCGGTTCGGCGGGATGGATTCCGAAGATATGGACCCAGGAACCCTGCTCCGGATGTACCAACGAAAGAAAATTGGGATGATGATCCACCTTCTGAAACTTACATCCCTAATGTAGAAAATAGACCCATTATTAGGGATGTACCTCCAGGCATGTCGCGTAATGCGAGACTGAGATGGAGGCTGCAGGAAAGAATTGGAATCCGCCAACTGCAACAGCAGTGAAGGAAGCAGAGGTGCAGAGAGTGTATATATTGTTAGCAGACGGAAGCAGAGTTGAAGAGGGTGGAAACAATGTTGGCAGAAGACAAAAGCAGTGGGGCGACCAAGGGGTGCACCAACAAAAGTAATAAGTGCAATAAAGGTGACCATCTCAATATAATTCCAAAGACCGTATCCTTCAACGAAAAAAACAAAGTGTATACCATGTATGCTTGGCAATATGCGTACAGAGAAGCACGAAGAAGTAGCTGGGAGGTAGCAGATAGATGTAGGTTTCGAAGGCGAGTGCAACTAGTCGAAGAAGTGCTAAAAAAGTACGTGACACTAGATTATAGACAAAAAGTGTTTACAGAAAGGTTTGAAAATGTAAATTAGTGCATAAGATTAGTATGAAGTTAGGTTTTGTAAGTTTTAACTGTAAAATAAAATTGTAATATAGTATAACGAAAAAAGGGAAAAACCCACGCTTAAAATAGTGAAGTTTGGAGTGCACGTATTGTAATTGCGATTAATAGAATCAAACTATTCAATGTCGATGCAGTGTGACAGTGACAGTGTGTACAAATGAAAAGATGTTCTGTAAGTTGTGTAAATATTCCTGTAAATACATATCGATAACCATTTACATGCTGTTTCCTGACAACTCATTGAATAAGAAAAAGCTAATATGTTTTAAGAATTGTTTTATTTAAAAAAATATGACATGATAAAGTTCTTATACAAATAAAATACGTTGGATAGTGCACACATGGTGATAGGCTTGGAGTGATAGAAACATGCAGTGCTAGCGGGTTCTAAACGAGGCTGTTCATCCAATTCGATGACGGGTTTGCGGAAAACCCGTCTCAAGTAGTTTGCTTTTTCGACTCCTTTGACGAAAATTCGATCTGCATGCTTCGTTAAGTCATCCATAATTTTTGGAAAGGTATGTAGTGGAGTAAAACCAGAGTTCCAATTTATACAGTGATGATTCTGCATCAACCAAGTAGCTTGTGTTTGTAAGTCCGGTGGGAGCAGATCCAGTGCAAAAGGGGGCTTGAAGACATAGTGACATATTTGTTGTCCATCATACCCAGCAAGTTCTTTAGCAATAAATTTATTATGTTCGATTTTGAATCCTTGCAAATCCAGAACAAGATTCATATTCGCAAAACAGCAAACTGATGGAAAACACACTGTTGCAAGCAATATGATTCAATGTCTTGTCTTAACTGTTTAAGTTTGGAGACGTACCGCTCAAGAGCTTTGTAGTAAATGAGCTTCATAATAAAACTGACCAGGAAATGTGGGAAATGGGGTTTTTATAGACTCATAAGTTTAACGTTGTTTAACGATTTTTGTCAAAGGGTTGTAATAAAAAAGACGATCGTGGAGAATAAGGCAATAAACGGATGTGGTTGGCGGTATATTTTCACTTGTTTCAAATTATACCCTCATTACAACCGAACCGGTTTGAATACTTTCCTTCTGCTTAGAGCAGTCGATATATGAGATGGGTGCCAAACTTTTAAAGTTATCAGGGGTAAACAATGGTTCATTTTCGGATTCATAATATGAATGACGAAATTTTGAAAACATGTCATACAAGGCAGCATATTTGTTATTTGGGAAGTCCAGATAGAGATCATTATAAGGAAATCGTTCTGAATTTAAAAACACTCGAACATTGGTTAGCTTGCAGTGATCGAACGTAGACATATTTGACTGTAGTTGTTTTTTCTTATCTGTCTGAAAAGCGAGTATCACATGCCTCGGTGTTTCTAGCTTCGTAGTTGTTTTCACTGGCCACGTATGTCTAGTCGTAGCGGGTAGGGAGGGATACTCAACGAGTTCCCAACTCCGGAAGTACAGTGGAATATCAATATTTTTGTTAACAAGTTTTGTCAAGGCCAATTGTTGAGGAATGTCGACGGAAACATGAGGTACTCGCCACTGTATTTTTTCAATAGTAATTTTGGGTGTTTCGGCGGTAGCGACCTTAATTGCATCAATATCATCATTACTTCGTATGAGTACTAATTCCTGTTTCATATTCAATATAATTTTGCAGTAGTCTTCAAAAAAGCCCATCCATATGCTTAGAGGAATGCATGAATTTACCGGTTGATAAAAAAAGCGATTCTTTGGGATACCAACCAGCATTTTGTAATTTAGTACTTTCATTTCGATTGTAAGAAAGATAACCTTTCAATGTTGAAGTGAGTCCGACGTGTCGAACAGAATCAACAACAACACCATTCAACTCATATCGACTTTCTCGGAACAAAAAGCTAAATGCGTTATTGACAAATTTAAAGTTTTCAGATGGAGAACCATCAGCTTTAGTGGGTGTTCCTTCAAGGTAAATATAGCTTTGGGACGGTAAAGTGAAGGTATCCAGTTCTTGAATAGCAATTCTAATTTCATCATTATAATCAAAATTAGCATTAACGTACGGTTGATAGGTGTGATACTCCATTTCAGTAATGGAGGTGTCAAGTAATGGCTGTTCTGTCACGTTCAAAATGCTCATGTTAGATCAATTGAAATCTCAACGACTTTAAAAACTGACGACGTCTATAATTTGGACGAGGTGACGGTACGTTGGTTGGTAGAGTACTAACAGTAAAAACTCTGCGAATCTTGTTTTTATAGGTTCGATTGGAAAGCACCGAATGTGGAATATTGTATCTAATACCCATTACGTATTTTGCGCAAGTGTAAACGTATGGTAATGGTTTCGTTTCTAAAGTTTACAAGATCGTTGTTTTGATCAAGTACTTTAACAGTCAAGGTGTTGATCGTACTAACACTCACAGGAAAATAAATTATGTTTTTCGGTGCTTCCACTATTTTATACCCAGCTGGAACAGTTGGGAAAAATTGATGGATGATGTGACTGGGTTGTCCATTTCTGAAAGAACCTGCAGCTATGCTACACTCGATACAGAGTGCATTTACTTTTAATATTTCCATTGCGAAATCGGACTCATGCAGTATATTTGTTTGCAAAATTCGGGGTTCAAAGCCCAACATGCGACCAATAGTATTTTTTGAAGAAAAATCGATGTCACAATTGGCTTGTAAAGTAACGGTGGATGTAGTTTTGTTGACAGTAAGACTAATTTGCAGTCCTGATGGAAGTTTTTGTTGTAAGGCGGTAGCCAACTCTGAAATTTCATAGGAACCGATAGGAAGTTTAAACGATTGGCGATCACTGGCAATTGAAGATGTAAAATATACAAAAGTATTGTTGGAAGCATCAATATTAGGTATCACATTGAAGGATTCAAAATCACACAACCCAATTTCATACGCATTATCATCTGAAAGATAGATTGGAGGATTAAAGTCAGCTTGAAGCGTAGAAGAATTGTCAGAAAGGGTAAATGTCATTGAACCTTGCACTAGCTTTATATAGGAAACGCAAACACAGGTGACCACAATTATGTGAGTTGAATGATTGAGTGGACTCATAATTGTATTCAATATCAGAGACATCATGATTGCTGCGAAAATAATGCACAGCTTCTCTAGGGGGACGTAAATTACCAAATGAATCAAAGTATGTGACATGATTGTTGTTTTTTACATATGCAGTCCAGTGGGATCCAACACCTGATGAATTATCTAAATTGATAATACCGCATTCTTTAGCTCTAATTCGATGTGGTAAATCATCTCTCATAACAACTCCCCTAAATTTTGGAATTATCAGTTGTTTAGCCAATTGAAGTAACCCTAAATTAGTAAGAGTATGACGAGGGAGTTTTTTAGCAGTTTTTTTTATAAGGTGCCAAATATAACCCTTTTCCTTGTTTAGATTGTTCTAACGCTAAGTTGTGACGTTTTTGTTCAGCCAGCTGAGCCTGATTGGTTTTCGCATCCGAGACTGCTTTGGCAATTGACGCCGCTCCACCTCCAAGTGCACCTGGCGCACCAAGTAGGGGCAAGAGGATCGGTAAAAATCCCCCTTTTTTAGGTATCGGTAAAAGTCTCGACTTTTTTGTGATGCATCGTTTTTTACGGAGACCTTGTCCGCTTATTACTTTTTTTCGCAATCCTAAAATGCGTTGTGACTTGCGAATACGAGAAGAAAACTTTTTTCGACTCATGCCACTACCCAATTTCTGCTTCATCTTCATGACCGCTGAGACACCCAGTGCAGCTACTTTTTCACCAAGCGATGAATCCGATGCAGCAACCCGCTTGAGGGCGTGATCAATTAAGAGGTTATCGGCTTTGCGACGAATGTCACTTTGTTTGGAGGTAGCGTAAACCAGATCGTGCTGCTTACAGGCCTCGTCTAAGCGATTAATTCCGGTATCACCTCTCTCAATGCGTTGCTTTAAATTTGTTCCAGGTCCACAGAACTTATACGTATATCTCGGGATGTGCAATTCAAGTGGTAGTTTATCGATAAGTTTATTTATGAAACCCGCACCATGCACTGTAACGGTCGGTTTGTGACTGTTTCTCCTCGCACGGAATGCAGTCATTTTATATTCTTCTAGCAAGTAACGGTTCTCAGATATATAGTAGACTGTGCTAGAAGTATTGATGTCAGTACAATTTATAGGCTATCAGAATGGAGATCGAACCATCAGCCGTACAAGTTCCTGTGACGAATTTTGATGGACTTGCACAGGAAGGTGCGCTTAGAAAACATGGTAACCTATTCAATAGTACGTCTAAACGCGCGTTAGTTGTAGGCCCAAGCGGATCTGGTAAAACTAATGTAATGATCAGTTTGTTAATACATCCTAATGGATTTAGATTTGAGAACGTCTATCTGTACTACAAGTCGCTGTACCAACCCAAGTACAAATATTTACGAGAACTACTAACACCGCTTCGCGAAATAGGGTATTATGAATACAGTGAAGATGCAAACATTGCGACACCAGAAAACATTAAACCAAACTCCGTAATAATTTTTGACGACGTTTCATCATGTAATCAGGATATAATAAGACAATATTTCAGTTTTGGACGACATCGTAATACAGACTGTTTCTATCTTTGTCAAACGTATACTGCCGCACCCAAACATAATTTAAGGGATAACATAAACCTACTCATACTATTTCCTTAAGACAATTTGAATCTGAAACATATCTATAATGATCATATCAGCCTAGACATGTCATTCAACGAATTTAAAAGCTTGTGCAGTTTGTGTTGGCAAGAGCCACATAGCTTTGTAGTGGTTGATACAGATTCTCCAAGACAGGGAGGCAGGTATAGAAAGTGTTTTAGCAGCAACATAAATTTGTAACAGTAATATATATATATATAACTATACTCTGTGCAAATCTTAGGGTAGTACTTATATAACATCGAAGGTAGACAGATGGATCCAAAACTGGCCAAAGAACTAGTCAGAACCAGGAAAGCGGTTAAACAAAAGTATCTCACACTTAAATCAGATATTGCAGCAACGGAAAGGGAATTACAGCAACAGTTTAAGCCGATCTCAGAACCGTTGCAAAAACTCTTATCAAAAGTTGAAGCACCTAAACAAGAATTGCAGATCAAAGAAGAACAATCTACACCCCCATCAGTGACATCCACACCGAAGAAACGACAATCATTCAATAAACAATTGTCAGAAAATTTATACCAACGATATTTACCATCTGTCAACTACAGCTTTCTCGAGGATACATATTGAAACCTTCCGTAGCCAAATCGCAGTCAAGATGTATCTACCGTTGAAGAATTTACCCCAAATGCTACGGTGTTGGAGGCAGAAAACCAGCAAATCAATGAAAGCGTGGCTCGAGTGGCGCAAGAATTCCACCAACTAATTGATACACCTGCATATCAAGAGTATCTCATGGGAACGAGCGCGAGTTTGATCGTTATTATGAATTAACACATGATATTTTTTCTGACGAGTTTCAACTCGGTAAAAGTCCGGTTACGCTAGACGGAGCAAATATCGTGGTGGAAAATGTAACATATCCTGGCACAGCTGGATTATATGAACTGCTTTTCAAAAAAGAACCAATTGGTTATAAGCAGAGTGATCTAGATCAGTATATGGATATTCTAAGTCGCACAAATGCATATCGCAGAAATTTTGAACCTAATACTCAAATACAGGGTAGTACGTCCTACAAATATCGAAATATAATTCGACCATACTTACATCAGCATAACATTCTAAAGCAGCAGGGCATACTCAGATCCGGCTCCTTTGAGAAACCTCCACCTCCTAAGAGTCAGTTACGACGAACACACTCATTCAAACATACAGGTCAAGGAATGCTCCACTTATCAAATAAACCAATCGACTACATCTATGTTGATGATCCAAATGAATTGGTTGGTCGTTTACGTCTGTTGTTAGCTTCACAGTATGCTGGTAATAATGGACATCGTAACGAGATTATGTCTATAATTGAGGAGTTACGTGAATTAAAAATTATAAAATGAATTTGTAACGTAATATTACTTTATTTGCATTGCTGCAGTTGTAGGATCAAGATGCCGATTGATAAATTTGGAAGACATATGCTTCGCTCAAAGAAGACGGACACTGCTGCAATCTTCAGTACTTTTCTAAGATCCAACCTATCCAACGTCTGTGTGGTACCCATTTATTCCTCCACATCCAGCGAGCAGTATTACATACGTCAGTCGTTGACGGGTATAATAACACCAAACACAGTACAATTGGAATCAAACCCAAAGACGTAAACAAACCTACAGAAAAAAACATTATTGAATACGGTTTATACACATTTGAAAACGGTAGATCCAAAGGGTGTAAAATATCAAACTGGGGATCATGTCCGCATAAACAAACATAGAACAGCATTTGCTAAAGGATACACTCCTAATTGGTCCAATGAAATTTTTACAATTCGTAAAGTACAGTATACCAATCCTACATCATACTTATTGGCAGATTGGCGTGGTGATGAGATACTAGGTGGATTTTATGCTGAAGAGCTTCAAAAAGTCAAGTATCCAAACATCTATCTTGTGGAGAAAGTGGTTCGACGTAAAGGCAGTAAAGTGCTAGTCAAGTACTTAGGACTGGATAGCAGCTATAATTCGTGGATTAACAAAAGTAATTTACTTGTATGATAAATGTACCTCTATTTTCTCTAATGATTTCTATAGCAAACTTTTTTTTCAATAAAATACTCTACGTAATATAAGATTTTTATTACAAATATACTGAGAATAGTTAGGATAAGTAATTTGAATAAAAGTTCAGTGTTGGAGCCTTGTTGAATTCCTTCAAGTTTGGATATTGGTATGCCAGCTCCATAGCAGTCTCGATGTTCTCCGAATGCGGCAAATCAGAGATGTGTTGCATAATAAAGGCTCGCACATCTACACCTTAGGAAAAACCATTGCTATACATGGGAAATCATTTCTTGGCAACAGCGCATCGGCTCGTCTACTCTCATCGCTATTCGTACATATTTCCTACCGTTAACCGCAGACCTGTATCACGAATGAGAATAATAGGCAGATACGCTGTGTTGCCAATTTGAGTAGAGCTTCCCGAATTGTGGGGAATTTAGAGTTAAGTGTTGATTCATTCAAGCTTTTAATCAGCATGGCGTAGACGTTAGAACTTCATAAAGATAACATTGAAGCTGAATGCTGCTGGAGTATAGTGTTTCGAATATTCAAAGCGGAGCGGGACACTATACTCGTTCAATGGGTCATCAAGCCACAGTCTTTTCAACAAAGAAATTATTTTACGAAAATGCGTTATATTTTTACGATTTTTTCGTTACCAAATCTCTGTTTCTCAAAATGTACGTCTATTGTAGAATTTTCAGCAAACTAAGCAAGAAACGTGATCTAGTATTTACTCAACATTACGGATTTCTCGAAATACATCAAAAAATGTGACCTAGATACCTAACTGCCCCAAGCTCTTTAAATATAACACCTTAAACCAGGGTTACCAGGTGCTCAGTCACGTTGATTGTCATGTTGTACTGCGAAAGTCAGCAAACAATCTGGCGTAATAAACGTTAGGAATCATCAGATATTGCCAGATTCCCGAATACCGGGCACCATAGTAACCGTTATAGTGGCCCTTCAAAGTTGTCGAATCGCCCCTATGGCGCAAATTCGCCACACCAGGCAACTGTGCTATAAACAAACCCTGTTTATCACTACTATTTGATAGTCATATGGTAGTTGTAGCCTTATCTAGCGGTCTATGATTTCTCTCAATGCTGTTGTATCTCTACTGGCAACAAGAATAGGGATTACAAAATCATTTATACAACAATATACAAACATGAAAAATATGATTTGAACCATGAAACATTAATACAATTTTAGTAGTTTGAACTTTTTTCATTTTTGGAATACTCTTATGTGGAATCCGCAGCTATTTTTCCCGAAATTTGGATAGACTTAGATTTCTTAGAAATATGACATATTGGTATCGGCAACTCTGCAAATGGGAGAAACAAATCTCATTTGTTGAGCGCATCCGTCTAAGCGGTAGGCGCCAGCGCCCGTTCTGCCATCTCTCTCTTTTATCACTCTTCTACTTTACCCCGTTGTCCGTCACACTCCGACGCTGCCAGATAAGATCCTCCAATAGAGTGTCTTTCACGCACCTACATACTTTTGTATATTTCCATCTCTCTTCCTCATCATAGTGTATAATAATGGTTTTTCCCATACTGTAATGTTGGACCAGCGAAAGATTGCAAGCCGAAAGAATGCGGACAAAAAATTGCGAAGTTGTCAGATGTTCTACATAAAATGCGGTCCATACATATTAACATATTTAAGATATAGAATTGTTCCGCTGAATTTGGCAATGTAGCTGGAAAACCCAGGCCGCAGGTAAACATCCGGTCGCTGATTGGTCCAAAACTCTTATCTTATCTGAAACTAGAATAACGTGCCGATGGCACGGTCATTTATAAACCTACTCCCATAGGCGTAGGCAGTTGGCAAATACTTTGAAAATATAATTTACTGTTTAGTGGTGATAATGGAATTCAAGCATGGGAAAGTTATTCACAGCCAGGCAAGGGAAATAATAGCAAACGTGATACGTGCTTGCGATGCAGAAGCGGCTAACAATACTTTCGTTTATCCACTGGTAGCTAGAAATGCAAGGGCGGCATATTATACGGGTGTTAGTGAACGAACTATAAGTAAAATTAGAAAAGAAGATAAAGACAGGCAAAATGCAACCTCCACACAGCCTTTAGCTTCTCCCGGAAAAAAGAGATCACGCCCTTCTGTGATCCAAAAAATTGATGGAGTCGATTTTTCCATTATTCGGAGAATGATAGAAAAATTTTACTGTGATTTTAAAGTGGTACCTACTTGTAGTAAACTTCTAATCAAACTGAAGGAAGAAATGGAATTTCCATTTGGTAAAGAATCGTTGAGGCTGCTTTTAAAAGCAAAAGGATTTTACTGGCGTAAATGCCACAACAAAAGGAAATTACTAATGGAAAGACCCAGTATTTTACATTGGCGATACAAGTATCTTAGGTCTATTAAAAAGTTCCGGGAAGAAGGAAGGCATATTATTTATTTGGACGAAACTTGGGTTGATAATGACCTCACTTTCAAGAAATGCTGGCAAAGCGAAGAAATTATGGGTGTCCTGAGCAATATAAGTTCTACAGGTAATAAAGTTTCTTTCACCTCGATTTTGCTTATTATACATTTTTCTCAATTTTGGAATATTCTTAATAAGTGCTCATTTAATTTGTCTAATTGAATACATAATCCCTTGCAAGTATTTTTTTCTCAAAAATATGTTTTTTATACATAGTGATTCAAAAAGGTGTTGGCAAACTTAAAATAACACTAAAATGAGGCTATTTATTCATTTCCAGGACGACTTATAATTGTTCATGCGGGTTCGCAAGATGGTTTTGTTCCTGGAGCCTGTCTCATTTTCAAGGCTGGCTGTGCCACTGGTGATTATCACGGTCAAATGAACCAAGAAAATTTCACGAAGTGGCTTACTGAAAAACTATTTCCTAACATTCCTCCTAATAGTATTATAATAATGGATAATGCACCTTACCATTCAGCTTTGGAAGACAAGCCTCCAACTAGATCTTCTCTAAAAAGAGACATCATCACGTGGTTGAGCAAAAAAGGTATAGAGCATGATCCTAATGCTAAAAAAATGGAGCTTTATGAAATAGCTTGTCTACATAGGCCACCATCTGATGAGAAAAATTATAAGATAGATAATTTAATAAGAAGTTTCGGACACACCCCACTTCGAACGCCACCCTATATGTGTCAGTTTAATCCCATAGAGATGATTTGGGCACAAGTAAAATTTTTCATTAGAAGCCATAATACAAGCGGCGAATTTACTATAAAAAAACTAGATGAAATTTCTAATAAGGCCATCGCTTCAGTAAGTGCCAGTGACTGGCAAAAGGTTATTGGACATGTTATAAAAATTGAAGATGAATATTGGGAAAAAGACAGTCTCATTCAAGAAATACAGGAAGAAATAATAATCAACATAGGAGGTGAAAGTGATAGCAATGACAGTTCCTCAGACAGTGATCATGACTCTAATCAGGATTGAAACTATACTAGATTGGCTACCTTTTAGAATTTTTAGATATTCATTTATTATACTATTGGTTTGTGGCTTTTAGTATCTCAGTAGAAAGTCTAATTCTATGTGTTGTTTATGGGTTATTTCATCAAGAAATTACTTTTTGTTTTCCTATATTTTTCTATTCAGTCAGATATTTTTGACTTGTTGTATTCTATTTTAGAAGAATGCATAATTTGTTTTGCTGTTCAATCATAATGCGTACATAGGAATATTACTTGTTGCCTAAAAAATATATTTATTTTGTTCTCAATATTCAGTGTTTGTGTATATTTATTTCTTATAATGTATGTTTGGTATCACGTCATTATGAATCGCAAAAAAATATTAATACTACCAGTTGTAATAAAATATAAATTCAATTAATAATTCAAGTCTCTCCGATCTCCGCCTATGACTCCATATAAAATCGTCTAATGGTAAGGTTTTTTCATCGCATTTCCCCCTTTCGTCCCTAGCAATCTTTGGCTGGTCGATCAATATGTGCTTGGTTTGTACATCCTGGATGAGTGTGGTAAAATATTTTTAGAACTCCTGAGTTTTCAACATATTCATCGTATAGGCGATCAGCGGGGCTAATTGTAATAACATTAAGTACGATGATGACTTTGATGGATCGTAATGAGGTAAAAATTTATTGTTCGCCTCGACTTTCCGTGAGGTACATGTGCTGACTCCTCCACGAATCCCCTTTTTAAAAAAATGTACCATATCCACATCTGTAAGCAGCTCTAACTCTACTTTAGTATATCGTAGCATTGCTTCCCAACTCAAACCAGGAGCTGTAAAATAGTGAGCTGGATCCAGCTTGTACGTTTTTAAACACAAATCTCTAAATTTTTCAAAGATATCTGTTAAAAGAAGAACATCCGAAGTCAAGTAAAAGTCCGAGTATTCCCCCAAATTTTTACACCCCATTACTTCCCAAACATGATGTGCCCGCTCATAATCCTCGTCTGCAATGTGTTCATCACGTATTTCGTCATAAAAGTCTTGTTGGGATGGTAAACATGTTTCATTGTATTTATCAAATGTTTTAAGATATGTATAGGGAAATATACCTTTACATCTCATGTAGGAGAATCTTTCGTCCTCGGGAAACACTTTTCGTACTGTCCGACATTGCTCTGCGCTTAAAAAGGATGCCAATGTTTCTAATTTTGACGACAGAAACTGATATGAATCGACAAATCTCATTTGCAAAAATACGGTTTTTTGTTTTCCTTCTTGAGAAATGTACGTGTCTACCGGTACTAATTTTGTAAATGACACATATCTTTCAAAAGATTGTGGAATCACTTTAATTTGTTCTTGATTCATAGCTAAATGTTTTATGAATAGATGAGCGTCATAGTTCTTCAGATTGTGGAAAAATATTGGAATATAGTTCGGAGTCTTATAATTGAGATTGCATTTACTATGCGCCGCACCACGATATTTCCCTGTGAAATGACAGTGATCCCTAACTTTTATATTTGTATTGGTGAATGGTTGTTGA